ATCACAGGTTGGTTAAACACGTGATCGGTTTTCATTTTCAGGAGTTGTTGCTCTCCGTATTTTAGATCGAGACCATCCTACAGCATTACAGTCCTCAGGAAAACTACGAAGAAAAAATTAGCGTCGAATTCTTTCAGTCACTCAGGCAAGGGCTGTTAAAGGTGCGCTCTCCGACTGATCTGAAATGTAGCTTCTCACCGGAAGTGGATGATCCCTTAGTCGAAGGATTGCGTTTAGAATTTACCTCGTCGTTCAAGGTTAACTTAGCGGAAGTGATGATTCCGTTATGGCTAAAAGATTATGTACAGAAACTGTAAACTTTTTTGTAAGGTAATGAATCTTGCCAATTCTTATCCTACTGATCACAGTGCACTTGCGTTCAGTTGAAAACTAGGGTTTTGAAAGGCAGCAACTGAATGTACTTTGTCCTTATATTTTAAGATGTGCAACCTCATATTTGCCGCATTTCGGCACTCCTGTCTGCTAAAACATTTGGCAAATCAGCTTTCAAGCAAAAATGTGAAAGCTTTGATATTTATTTAGATTAAAAATTCACCTGAACAGACTGTATCTGTGTGCTGACTGTTTTAATCAAAAATTAGATATTTTGATGGCTTTTATCTTACCGGGTGCAACAGGCAATAAACCTGAATATCACTTAGCTCCTCATCATACATACATATATACATCTGACCCACATGTTCATATAACTGATTCTTTACAACAAACGGTTCTATCTAGAGTGTCCTTCATGTGACATCCGTGATGGAGCATCATTGGTTTTGCCGATTATATTGATTAAAAGATAGGGCCACCTAACGAATGATTTATTCTCCCAGGCGCTTGTCTCAGAAGTACAGGCTGATATCAGGGAAAGCTTCTGTTGGAATATTTGCTTAACACTAGACTTTCACTACATCCCTAAAGCGTTTCATATGAGAATTGAAACACGACAGACGTCAACCACAAAATGGCCGGTATTCGAAACAAATGAACAAAATATAAACAGCGAATCCAGAACCGAGAAAACTGTTCTATTTTGAATATTTTCCTATGGACAATGGCTAACGCGTTCGGGCTTGAGCGTGCCCTTGTTCAACCAAACTAAAAGATTCTATCATGCGTCCTTTGCACTGCAAGCTCTTAAATACCATGGATGCGTGTGCTACTTAAAGCCCCCCCCCCCGCCAATGTTATTATAAGCAAAGCGGCGGTGTAATACAGACATGACTCCCATCTATCTCAC